AAGCTCGATGGGCCTCACCCGATTTAAACTGCCCGACTCAGCGGTGCACTTTGATTCACACCGCTGCCGAGTAAAACCTCCCCACACTGTTCCCATCGTTCACGGTTCCACGATGCCACAATCCATCTCACTCCTGCACATGAACTGATCTCATCGCTCCGTCACACGTATATTTACACATCCACAGAGAGATCCCCCTTATAGCCTTAACAGACAGTTGGGACACGTGCTGTTGGCGAGCACCTATGAAGGCCAGCACCTGAGGGGGTGGGTGGCCAACACCATGCCCAGCCGCCATTGTCTCCTGAGTAGTGATGTTTATGCATCGCACCAGGTACTCATTTGAGGCTGAGTCAACCTTGGGAAGGTCCAGGACCAGTTCAGATAATCGTCACTGGTGTTGGCCGTCAGCAGGAATCAAACTCAGGCCGCCGGTTTTGTAGCGCAGCATGCTAACTACTACAGTACAGCTCCCCACACAACACACACATGCACATACCTGCACCAACACACATTCCCCCATACATGTAAATACGTTCGTGCATTTCGTTATGACGGATAATTTGTCAATACGTATCATCAGCATTTCTTCTAGCGACACGTTCAATCCACTGCTGGATGAAGTTCACCCTAAGCCACCACCTCTCATGATCCTCCTGTGATGTAATAATCTTTCTAACACCCGAACGTGAACTGATTTCATCGCTCCATCTCCAAGGCGGCTGACCCTCAGATGTATTCCATTCCTTGGTTGCCACACCTTGACGATTCTTGACCATTGGTTCATTGTCCCTTCTGGTGACATGTCCCAAAGCCCACTCTTCTTAACAGTCAATATGACCTGCGTGTGTGCTGTAATCCATGTGCAATGACGACTTGACACACTTCTCTTGAGATGGCACTTTATTGAAGACGCGTTCACTTGACACAGATGGAGACTCCACTGCAACAGCCCCAAGTATCTCGCGCATCTCCCTTTTATACCAACTGAGGCCACGCCCCCCTTCCTGAACCTTCTCGCTGACTCTGGACGCTCACTCCACCGGCAGACTCCACCGTCCTCTTCCGTCACCTGACCATCCTCCCTTCTCGATTATTCCCGTAACCACCAGTCCCTTTGCACTCACAACTGATACCCCTGTCATTACCTCCCTTGGCCACCAGTCCACTCACACCGCAGGCTGACTCCCCTGTCATTATCTCCTGTGGCCACCAGTCCACTCACACCACAGGCTGACTCCCCTGTCATTACCTCCCGTGGCCACCAGTCCACTCACACCGCAGGCTGACTCCCCTGTCATTACCTCCCGTGACCACCAGTCCACTCACACCGTAGGTTGACTCTGCTGTCATTACACATGGATAATGTTTTTATGTTTACATATTTTAATATATATGACACGATGTATTCTAAATGCATGCATATATTTCGGATGGCAGGGGTGCTGAAGTGGTAACACTTAGAAGCAACAACAGCATATCTAATATGGATAATAATGCAGTCATTATACGTTGATCCCATATCCACATATCCATGTTTACGACTGAACAAGCTTACTGTGCTATGATTAATTACACATTTTTTAAAAACGTGTGCCTGTGTGGAGGCATCTGCTTCTACAACAATGGGCGAATGTTAATAATTGCGCTTCCATTGTTACTGGAATAACAATTGGAACGGGGATAGTTGGTTGATTGACCTTTGAAGAATAGAATTGTTTATGGGGGGAATGAGTGCATTGAAAAATCCTACTGCCTGGATTTGATCAAGTATTTTGTTTACCTGTTTGTGTCTTGAGTTTTAAGATCATTAACAGAAACGAAATCTACTTTCATGTACGTTAAATTGAACAATCAGACACTTTTGCAAAGTTTATAATTGTTACATGAATTAAAATTGTTATTATATTTTTCTTTTTTCAATCTTACAGTGTTGTGTTTTATATATATTTTTTAAATATACAAGACAGAACCCTGTCCTGTTTTTCTAGACCAAAGGAGCAAGTTCTGCCAATGAGCAGCTCGTAATTTAATAACAATTTAATTACAATTTAATTACGTATCGAGCGGAGCCACACGACATCGCATGACTCTTTTAAGGAAGGTCCTGTTTTGGGTACTTTATTTTAAGATGCTTTCAGCCATTTAAACACATTCCTGCGGAGGGAGCTGGTAGGAACGTTGGGTTGCTCGGTCAATGGCCAGGGTCAACGGCGGCGTGGTGTATTTCGCAAATATGGCCGACTGTGAGTGCGGGCACAAGCCGGCGTGAGTAGGTTAAACGTTGAGTTTTATAAGGGCACCACGAGGTGACCAGCCCCTCCCCACCCAGATCCACCCCTCCCACCCCCACCCACCCAGCCCCTCCCCACCCTCCCCTCTCCACCCAGCCCCACCCCACCCATTTTTGGATGCACGATGGATGGACACAATAATCCCCTGTGGGCTGGTGGAACCAGGTGGTTCCTACAAGTATGATGAGCGTATATCATACATGTGGGAGGAAACCGTTTCACCCAGAGAAAGCCCATGAGTGCGAGAGGGCAACGCTCTATCCCCGTACAAATGGAAACATGTGGTCATTAGTCTACTTGCTGTACTGCCTTCACTTGACGTGCCAGGGTATGGCACATCGACACCAGCGGGAAGGGAGTTTCACAACATGTGTGCGGTGATCCACCAACCCTCCCTGCCTCCACAGAGTGCTTTAATATTAAGGCATATCACAAAACCTGAGATGCTGGTGTGACCGGAAACACACCTGGCTACTTTTGTCGCCTGAGTGCTGACGTTTACACATCATACCAGGTACAGGTGTATGGCTGAGTTGACCGAGAAGAGGCTCAGAAGCAGTGCTGATACCACTGGTCACTGATGTTATGTATGGCCGGGAATCGAACCCAGGGTGTTGTGATTGTCGGTGCAATGTGTAAACCACTAAAATGCTGCTCACACACACACAAAAAAGATCCTACCATATAGCTTTACTGACCATACATGCATGCACTGTTTCAAATAACAACGTGTTAATCTTGTCAAATGTACATGGTACACATGCTTATGGGTGATCGACTGTCATTAGTGGATTACTGGTTGCAATGAATCTTGAATTTCTCTGTGTCTATGTCATATACCATATGCCCCTCTTCCGCATTGTGTGCTTCATATCATAATCATCGTCCAGTTTTATGATTTAAGTGCAAAAAAATCGGTAACATATTTCAGTTTACTGGAGCAAAGCCATTTGCACAGGACTGGTGAACCATAATAGCATCGTTGGCTACGTACGGCGCGAAAGAAGTTCAACATACATGCATAAAAAACAGTGCATTCGAAATACAAGCACAAACAATACATGTAAGGTATCTAATATGAAGTCTCATCAATGTAAAATTACTATGTGAGATATTTGAGTGTGCATAAACTACATCAGTGAAATAGAAAACTAAATTATACTTGTGTGTCTGCCAAATCTGTAAATTATGATAACATCCCATCATAATAGAATAATAGTCTCTATAGTAAAAAAATAATCGTAACAATAGTCTTTTTTGAAACTTATAGTTTTACAGTCTGCTATCTTATTGATTTTTGTTGGCAATAGCCAAGCTAATGGCCCCCATAGTGTGGGTGTCAGCACTCTTTATATATAGATCTCAGAGGCATACACTGCTGCAGTGTGCATTGGTGACCACACCGTGCTGATGAGTCCTAGATCACTGCTGTTGCTGTCAGTCGGTCGCATCGTCTCAAATTCATGTTGACATGGACCACAATGCACTGCTTAAAAATAGGCAAATGGTTATTTTGCATATGCACAGACACTGTGTACTATTTACAGGTTTGCGTGTCTTGTTACACCTGTGTGTGCAGTCAAAGCTCTTTTCACAATCTGTAATCTTTACTCAAAAATTGTCTCTCCCAGGTCACTCACTATTGTTTAAGTGGCAGGTTTTTTTTTTTCATGGCAATGAATATGGACCGTGACACGGCCGAGGGATGGCACGTTTGCCACTTGTCATGGTGGTTCCCGGTTCGAGCCAAGCAGTCACCCTGGATAATACTGCTGGCGTAGTGACCAAAAAAATGCATGCCATGGCGTCATTATAAAGTGGGTAATCCATGTGTGCAGGCATCACGGTCCAAATTTTGCCAAATGGTGAAAATTTGCTGCAAATGAAGCCATAGAAACATCGCCTTACTACTCTGAAATTACTGCAGACTATAAATCGTCTGTGAAATATTGCACCTTTGTGACAGCCTTGCACATTACGAAATGGAGTACCAAATGTGCTTATTTGATTTGAAAGATTATGAATCGTAATCTTTCGTCGACCAATATGATGAATAACACTGGTCAACACACTTTTTATGGCATAAGGTATTCTAACGGTTTTAAGGTAATTTTGGGATGCTGATTCCAAATCTGGCATCAGTTTTTGTCTATCAAATATTGCATTTTCAATAAAAACTGCAGAAGAAAAATATTAAATAAATGTGGATATCTACATAAAATTATATTATAAACACACTATCCTAAAAATACAGCACCATATTTTAATACTAAAGCAGTCACTGACTCGCAACAACTTGCACTCATAAGTGACAGAGTTAATTTCAGGTAAAATCAATGAAAATGGAGTATGCCGATAGCATAAAATGAGATGTGATAGAGCAAATCTGAGATCAGATTTGGAATCAGCACCCTGAAATTAGTCTAAAACAGCTGCAAAAGTCCAGGCCAGAATTTTTTTTTTTTGTTGACCAGTGTAATTCATTTATCGTGGGTTCAATCGTGTTGTTACAACGTCAATGTTTTCAACTATAACACTCGACCACCCGAGATGGCCAATCAAACCAAGATGTCACATGGGGCCGATATGCCAATTGATTAGATTTCTCGGCAAAACCAGACCGTTGTAAGGCGAGCAGAATTTTTTCCACAATTTTTGGCTCGACGTTTTGCTAAAGATTTTACATCCAGCGTTTCCGTGCGACAGACCACAGGTGCGGGCAGCCCGAGACGCCGGCCCACGTGGACGTCCTTGGCCTGGACATCTCGACGTTGGGCTACACGCTCGTGTACACCTGCCAGAAGGACTTCTTCCTCGCCGGGGGGTCGGAGCACCGCACCTGTGGGCCCAACGGCACCTGGACCGGAAAGCCCCCAGTCTGCAATGGTGAGGTGCTTGGATATGTTCACGTGATCGTATTAGGACGCCCGTCACCCTCGCGACTTTTGACTAGCCATCGAGCAAATATGGGTCACTGCATCGCACGCTGTCAGATGCGCTTCTGCAGCCGTCTGGAACGCCCTTCCAATATTAGGAAGTCACTGGAGCTATGCACTTTAAATAATCTAGATTGAAAATGCATTTCTTTAGAACTGATTTTTGTGTATAGTTTGTTGTCCTTCCCCTGCACCTCCGATTAGCACGCTTGGCTATATACGGTGTGAACTATATTCAACATGCATACGTACATGTATAGGCAAAGGTGCAGCCCTGCACTTGCCTGATCTTGCCATTGCCAGTACAAAGGCCTCCAACAGAAGGAGCTGTTGAGAGCCTTATAGAGCACCTATAGGAGGTGTTTTGGTCTACTCTTCTATGCTGATCAGGCATCTTTGATCAGGTGAGAGTAACTGTGTGCTTAACTTTATCACACGCTACCTGCCAGTTTATACATTTATACTGCTTGGTGGATAGAGATCAGGGAGGATTTAGAAAACTTGCATTATTATTTCAACTGTTACGCCGGGAGATTGAACCGGTGATCTCTGGATTACGAGTCGAGCTCGCTAACCATTGCAACAAAGCAGTATATTACAGATGCAAAAATAATTGCCTTTTCACTGATTCTTTGGACAGTGTGGTTCGCACAGAGTGGACAAGCGATTAATTTATAACATTAGAACTATTGATCTGGGCATATTTTCATCCTTAGTTACGCTGCATTAGGATAATAAGTTTTGCTAGCTGGCCCTCCTGCCTGGTCTCCTGTCTGCCTGGCTGGTTGGTGTGCAAGTTGTGCGTGTGTCGCACTCTCATCACACCTCCTCCCTACTCCGGCTGTGGATCCCACACAAATGCACGGGATAGCCTATCGTACTCTCATATTTTTACGATACAAGACAAAAGTTTTGCTGGCTTTCTGGCCGGCTGGAGGGAGGGATCGAGGGATGGATGGACAGATACGTCCAAAGGACGTTGCTGGCTGCTATCTCATGATTGCCTAATGCTCTCGTAACTGTGTAATGGCCAAATGGGATTTATAGAAATGTGAACAGTGTTGTGGCATACACCCGGCATCTGTTCCCATCGCACATGGTTTCTTTCAGAATATAGAGCAGGGAGGAGATGGGAGATCAGTGTGTAACAGAATAAAATAATGAAGTTTGCCTGAACACTTGAAAAATAAGTTTATCTTACTAAATAATGTGTTTGTCACCTGTTCAATGTGTGAATATAACAGTTTGCACGCGTGCTTAAAAGAGCAGGTGATAGTGTAGTGACATCAGGGATGTTACTGTATGGTGCCGGCCTGGATGGGTCGTGCCGTTCGATGTTCCTACATCGTGGACAGCACCGTGTGGGTGACTGTGTGTAATACCAGCCCTAGCGGGGCTTGGTGAGCACTGGGATAGTGCGGGCACCACGCACGGCGTGTGATGGGGGCTCCCCCGAGGGGGACGGGTGAGTATCAGCCCAGGGGCAGGGTTGCCCTGGGCCATGGCACTTTGGTTGACCCCGTAGCCACGTGATCCGGAATGTCTATACAGGGGGCCCCAGGTGGGGGGACTCGGGGGTGATCACGTGTCCGGAAAGAGCTCTTGAGAAGGATCGAGAGAGAACGAGAATGTTCGGGAAGGCGGGCGGGGCCGAGGTCGGAGCGGCCCGAACGTAGGGGGATATAAGACGGGTCCCGGAGAGGGACCGGGGTCGCTGCATTCTACGAGTGAGAAGCACAACATCTACAAGCGGGAATCTCTACGTCTCAAGCTGAACCTCTCCGTCGTATGAGGCAACCACGTGGTCGGAGACCCGAGTGAGGGATCGACCCTTCGTAGCAAATAAAAGTGTTGCCTCTAAAAGGAACAACGTCTGCGACTCAGTTGGACCCACTATAATAGTACAAAATATCGCATGATCTGTTTAAAGCAATCACCTGGCAGGCACATTTCACAGAAAAGTCAGTGTCTCCTTGCTCGATGAGAAAACACTCATTTGCAAAAGTGGCCATAAGCCAGTGATGGAAATTGCATGTTTGCATGGTGGAGCCAAATCTATCAATAGAGAAACACGTATGAGATAAATATAAAAAAAATACCGATTGATAGATACGAGAGGTGCCCGAGTGGCCCTAGAGGTCTCAGCGCTTGGCTGGCACCGCTGAAATCCTGATTACAATCCAGAAAAGTCTCCTGTGATGAGTGAGTCGGTGGTCTCAGCTTGGTCAACAATGACTGCACAAAGACACTATAAGATTTGGTTCTGCACTTCAATTTACTAAATTGCAGCTCAGGCAATTAAAACAATCTATTGATTTGACTGTCATGGGACCAACGTTACTCTCAGTGGCAAAGCGGGATGGGGGGAGTGTTGCCCCATACTGTGGACCAGAGGTCATTCGAAGAGGGCATTCTCTAGCACCACGTGTTGCTCTGCTCTGTGACAAATCCGAGTGGATTATTTGTCACTTGATGTAACAATGATAGCAACATTCTGGTGAAATTTTTGTATATATTTTTTATGAAGAGCCTCCCGGATCACATTTTTTGCTCATTTTTGTTTACATTTCAGCTGGAAAGAAGTACAGAGACAAAGTGACTCCTTCAGACCTTGGACACTTTAATCCAAAACCTCCAGGTATGTCAACATACATTATTCCATGATGAAAACAGCAATATGTATAGGTCTTTTAATATCAGCCGTGTAACTAAGTCCAACATTTTCACAGAACCTTAGTTGACACTGCATGCTCCAACGAACCTTTTTGCCTGCACACTGCTGTGACAAATAATTATAGAAAAATCAATAATTGAAACACAATTGCATGCATTCTTCACGCAGAACGTCTAACTTACAGCCGAGGTGCAGTTGATTGTGTTTAGGGCCCATAAATATATTACCGGTGTAACCTCGTGGTACTAAATTTGTTTCTTGCCGTTTGTCTAATGGGGAATTGTTTGGTCTTTGGCAGCAAGTCCTGTAGGTCTCACAGATATACGAGCGGTAAACAAAAAGCGTGTGGCCTGCTGTAGAATCCAATGCCTGAACTTATATAAATGGTAACATTTTCACATGGTGCTCTTGAAGAGTACTGTACTTGCAAGATGGGCGTACCAAGGTGTTCATCGCCACCCATAAGACCTACTTATTTGGCGCTTACGACCATGCATTCATTGCACATGTCACTTGTTACTAGGAATTTTTTTCTTTGCATGTGGAATCTTTTATCTGTAGAAACTTGTGTAAGTCACTGGGAGGCAGGTATCATTCGTCTGTTTTATGTTCATTGTTTCATTGGATTGTTTTCCTGTTGATCGTTTGACTCGATTTTTTTGTTATACCTGTAAAATTACAGAGTTCTTCCATATCTATGAAAATTAGTGATCTTGCTTTAAAATCGTCATCTTTTTTACCTGGAAATTCACCCTCCGTCGCTGCACTACTTCCTTTGTCAGGCCACAGACGTCCCACTCACCTGCCTGGGAACACGAGCCATGTCTATTTGCAGATGGACATTTGTTTCTTAGCAGCAAGCTGCATTTTGATATTTTCTAGGGTATATTTTAATCCCTTGGTAAGGCCCTGTGTCTGTGATGGCAAAGGGTTTGTGTTGTGGACTGCAGTTTCAGAAAGTTTTATGATTGAAATATATACGTTTTTTTTTTTTACAAGTGTCATTGTGTGCCTCGGTTTGTTCTCTGGGTGGCAGGAAAAAATCCTCATCCTGGTAAACATTCACCTATCATAATTGTGGAAAGATAGAGAGCGCATAAAAAGACAGATAAGAGCCCTCTGAAACGCACATCACCTTCTGCATATGAGAAAAATAGAACGTGAAAAAAAATATGATCTTGACAACATAATGTAGAAAATAATTGCAAATATTTGCAATGATCATGTGAGCTCAGACCTTTGTTTTCGATATATCGTTTGATCAGGAAGCAGATCCCACGACATCTTATAACAGATATACTATCACTACATGATTCACATTCAATAAGCAATGCTGTTGTATATCTTTCAGAATTGAAATTAATTAATGTGTGTGCGTATGGCTATTGTACATTTAAAGTAAATGCATAGACTAAATTATTGACCGTGCACAAAATCAGTGGCATTTGTAATATGCTCCTGGCCTTAGCCTACATTCTCTCAACAATAATAGGTTATTATCTACAGAATTATCGTTGGTAGAATTAGCATTTACACAAATTATGATTTTCAAATAAAGTTTTCGACATCCTAAAGCAGGGGGTGAGGAACTTACGGCCTGTGTGTCAGATTCCTCAGTTCATACGGCCCCCAATCTCACGAGTCTGACCACTTCGAAACGACCCACAGAGGATATTTATCCATCGATGTGTGTGCCTTAGCTGTGCCAATCAGCTACTAGAGGAGAATGATAATTATTTGACCTGGGAACACCGTTTCTAGTTATCACGCTCTCGAATTTCGGGCCCTTTTATACCCGGTCGACTCGCACGTGAGCACTATGGTGTGTCTGTGTGCTAATGTGGGGCCGGCCAGAGATAACTGAGAGTCCTATTTGGACCTCACTGATAGGTCCCCCTATGCAAACTCATCCAAAGGCATTTCCAAAAGTACATCTCTTAAGCCTCAAGCAGGATGTCACCTCTTCACAGAAAATTGTCGCTACTCTTGAGTGGTGATCGCACCACTCTGTTTACTAATTCATAACCCGCATAACTTTCCTCCACAGTGCCCGACACCGTCTTTGCAGAGAATTACACGTGGAAGGGGTTTTACGATCACCTCGGACAGAAAAATCCCATGACGCTTGTGGTGAACGGCTTTAATATGGCCACTGGAAGGGTCAACATAACCTTCTCAGACAACAGTGTGACGCTCAAACTTGCAGGTACTTTGTCCCTAAACTTTTTTTCCATGCGATCAGATAGGGGCCATGAAATATATATGTGTACATTCATTGGATTGTAAATAATGACACCTGGAAGGACGTGCGAAGCACATGCCCATGCCGATTGACTGCCATGGTTGAGAACGGTTTGTGTTTCGATTTAAAGCTTTCGTGACTGCAGGGATTCATCTTCTTGGTTCTTTCGGTAAAGTCACGTGGAAGGGAAGTAATAAAATAATAAAAATGTTTTATTTTTATTATTTTATTACTTCCCTTCTACGTGACTAAGTCACGTAGAAGGGAAGTAATAAAATAATAAAAATGTTTTATTTTTATTATTTTATTACTTCCCTTCTACGTGACTTTACCGAAAGAACCAAGAAAACGGTTTGTGTGTTGGAACACTCGTTTATTATTATTTTTATCATGTCGGGCAGCCATTGGCAAAGTGTGTAGCACACTACGCTATGAACCAGGTGACCTGAGTTAAAATCCCAGCCACGACTAGCAGCAGTGGTCAGTGATAACCGAAGCGATCCATTCGTGAAACTTACATTTGAATGCAAAATTTTTTACATGTTAATAATTTTAGCAAAAGTGATGGCAAGTATTATCGAAATTGCATCACGTGATGGCGTTTCTGCAAGAAGACGCACGGAAGTGTTGCCGTGAAAATTATTTCACTGTACCATTATATTTTTTAATAAATCTGACACCAAACATAAATCCAATTATCAAAATGTCATTTATAGACCCACATTTTGGATTAATCCAAAAACCAGGAACGCGTCCCGACTAGTCATTACAGCTCAGATCATTACTCACTCTGTTTACCATAGCATGCAGCCATTCTGACTTTACTCTGACAATAATGGTTACTTGTTAACTGCGATATGTGGTGCTGGAATTACTAATTAATATAAAATTATGAATGTAGTTGCATTGCTCATTAAAATATCGATGGTATTCCTGCATTGCTTATATATTAACAAAATAATTTAAGGATGGGCACATTACAACAGTCATTTCCATTCCGCAGTCCTATTCCCTCCATTTATTAAAACAAATTTGTACTAATTGTATCAACGTTGTCATAATGATGGGAATAGTCGAGTCCAATGAGGTATTGCACTCATAACCTTCAGAATATAGGGTGGGCACTAACGAGAGGGCCACCCAACACACATAGCCACAGGAGCAATAACGATCTTGATTTGAAGCTTTCATGACTGCAGGAATCCATACTTTTTGGTTCTTTCAGTAAAGTCACATAGGTAGAAAAATAAAATTAAAAATAATATACCACGACGTTTCGATCGCAACACAAGCGGTCGTCCTCAGGTGGAAAAAAATTCCAGCAGCGGAACTGCTGAACCAGCGAGAGAGCTGTTACAACAAGAGGTTATATATGTGGCGAAGGGCAAGCAGGCGGGGTCCGAGCTGGAAAGGAATTCCATCCCCGGACGCAAGCACGTCAGTTGTGTTAATGGGGGAGATTATGGAGAGAGAGATTAGGGAGAGAGATTAGCATGAAATGAGCTTCTATAATAACGATCAATACATTTCCGTTTGTTTCACGTACACACGTAATCGTTAACAACAGAGATGGTTTGTGAAAATGAGTGGATTTCTTAAATACCGCTAACGCATGCGATGGGTGCACGTCACCTCCAGGCAATTACAAGAGGCAAGAGGCCAGACTGTCCCTTCAGATCTGGAAAATCACAAGCCAGGCACCAGCTGCAAAATTCAAGGGCAGCAACTGGATCATGGATGGATATGTGAGTAACCCGACTGCAGCACTGCAACTCTACTGAGTAAATTGATGATGAAAACAGTTATATTTATATAATGATATAAACACCCCGATATCACAACTTTGATGAAGTGACAGAATAAAAACGAAAACACCCTGGTATCTATGAGGAAGTAGGCGACATAACGCAATGCATTATAATCACATTGTCATTTATTTTAGTTTAATAAGTTGAGTAAGTGAGCTTGGGCAGGGCCTTTGGCAACATTGGATAATGGCTGGTGTTAGCTATGCACATGGCCTGTAATCCAATGCTATGGAGGTGATGGTTGGTGAATCACACAAATGTTGTGACACTCCCTGCCTGTGGGAGTCGAGGTGCCATACCCTGGCTCGCCGGGAAAAGAAAGCAGTACAGCAAGCGAGACTAATCGTCATCCGTTTTCATTAGCACAGGGATAGAGTGTTGCCCCCTTCCACGCGTGGGTTTCCTCCCACCTGTTAGTTGGCTGAAAGCATCTTGAAATAAAAACCCAATGCAGGACCTTCCTGAAAAAGAGTCTTTACGACTCAGTCTGGCCTTCCTGGATTTAACATTTATATGTAATTGGGCAGGAGATGTTGCTAGAATGGATAATGGCCGGTGGTCAAAACTAATAATGGAGTGGCAGCATATGAGAGAAGACACCTGCAAGGTGCTCCCCCCCCCCCACCATGGAGGTGCCGGATGGATTGTTGCAGTTTCAGAAGGCCGTTATCCAGGATTGGATTGACCATGGCTGACGATGTTGAGGATGATGAAGCACCGTAGACATGAAACGATTAAGCATGCGGTTGTATTGTTGGATGCATGGGTTCATTCCATTGCATGAAATGTTTTTTTTTTTTCACGGCAATGGAAAGCGAAAGAATATGACTTGGGATTTCTTCTGCGGCATTATGTAAATCCCTTGAATATGTTCCAGATTAAATGCGAGACGGGAAAATGTCAAAACTGGGTGGTTTTTAACTTTTGCCGACAAAACTGGATCCCAAATGTCAAAACTGGGTGCACCCTGGGTGGCCAAAAACTTGAGTTTTGGACACTCAGGGTGCACCCAGTTTTGACATTTGTCACATACACTTGATAATTGTATACTAGCACAGTGTGCCAGCACCCCATTCATCCAAACACTTGGTATTTGTATACTGGCACACTGTGCCAGCACCCCATTCATCTAAACACTTGGTATTAGTATGCTGGCACAGTGTGCCAGCACCATATAACTACACACACTTGATATTTGTACGCTGACACAGTGTGCCAGCACCCCAACGACCAACATTTCAAGCTACGGCTCGCACTCGGAAGTGAGCTCGGGGCGGGCTTGCGACCAGGCGGGCGCACTGCCACCTTGCGTGATGACCTAGACTAGTGACTCGCGTCAATACCAAACTTTTGGATTGTTGGTTGATGCTACGCGCTAATGTACATGCAAGCTGGCACACTGCACCAGTATACAAATGGCAAGTTCGTGTATGTTCGCGAGCTGAAAGTGTTACTGTAGTTGCAAGCTGGCACACTGTGCCAGTATACAAATGGCAAGTAAGTGTTACTGTAGTAGCGAGCTGGCACACTGTGCCAGTATACAAACGGCAAGTAAGCGAGCTGGCACACTGTGCCAGTATACAAACGGCAAGTAAGCGAGCTGGCACACTGTGCCAGTATACAAACGGCAAGTAAGCGAGCTGGCACACTGTGCCAGTATACAAACGGCAAGTAAGCGAGCTGGCACACTGTGCCAGTATACAAACGGCAAGTAAGCGAGCTGGCACACTGTGCCAGTATGCAAACGGCAAGTAAGCGAGCTGGCACACTGTGCCAGTATACAAACGGCAAGTAAGCGAGCTGGCACACTGTGCCAGTATGCAAACGGCAAGTAAGCGAGCTGGCACACTGTGCCAGTATGCAAACGGAAAGTTTGTGGTGCAAGGTGTGGAACATGAGCCACGAGAAACATCATTTGGAACGCTCTAAATCTGTGGCGACATATGGATGAATAACGCAAGGACCTAAACGTGTACAAAATGATACATTAAATCGTACACCTTCACCCAGTTTTGACATTTGTCCACATTGAACATCACCCAGTTTTGTCATATCAAAAAGCACCACCCTGTTTTGCCTGTCGTTTTCCAAGACCACCCAGTTTTGACATTTGGGATCCAGTTTTGTCGGCAAAAGTTAAAAACCACCCAGTTTTGACATTTTCCCAATGCGAGACTATGGGGATGTGTTATGTAAATTCTTATAAAAATGGTGCCATCAACGGCATAATCGCCTGCCAACAAAAAAGAGCACTGTGCATTCATCACACTGCTTGCCAGGATATGTGACTCACATGCAAGGGTTTCAGTGTGCACGTCACTATGTACGGATAAAATGTACACTATCTCTGTATGGGGGTGCTGTCAAGGCACACTTGGGGTTAATTCGTCATGTGCTACCACTTTACCCGACTGTGCTGTGCATTATTTAGGTTTTCGCCGAATTCGGACTCATATTTAACGGAGAGGCTCTTTGCCTACGCACATCTGGCAGTTCACCAGCAAGTGGTTCAAGCAAACCTGCCTGCTGATGAGAGACCGAATGTCTTGGCCAAGCGTTTGCTTGTAATTGAACCAACGCATCACATTACCCGTGTGGCTATTGGAATGTGTGGCCTGGGCGTTCACAAAAGGGGGTCCCGCAGCCAATTACAAGTTGCCTATTCTGCGTCATGTGCAGACAGACACTCCCTCCACACTCCCCCTCGCACCGTGGCTATTAAGCACTCTATAATTGAATTGTCAACTGTATTGCTTTTTCATATATGTATCCTTGTCCCCTCCTTAGCCACGTGGAAGTGTAACTTGCATGACAACAGTCTGCGATTACTTGCTGTTGAATTTGGTCAAGATAGAGACATATCTGGCAATCTGGGGTGTGTTCGTGAATTACTATTAATGTTGCATTGTATGTGAAATGTATGTATTTTGTAGGTATCTGCTGAACATGAAAGCTTTGTCTATCAAGGGTCCATTCAAGCCAACGGATTTGGACAGTTTGGAGTACAGAGACTTGGTAAAGTACAATTATGATTACAGATTATTACCTTACACACAATATTATAAAAAAAAAAACATTCCTGCGGAGGGAGCCAGTAGGAACGTTGGGTTGCTCGGTCAATGGCCAGAGTCAACGGCGGCGTGGTGTATTCCGCAAAAATACCCGACTGTGAGTGCGGACACAAGCCGGCGTGAGTAGTTTAAACGTTGAGTTTTATAAAGGCACCACGGGGTGACCAGCCCCTCCCCCACCCAGCCCCACCCCTCCCACCCCCACCCAGCCCCTCCCCACCCAGCCCCTCCCCACCCAGCCACTCCTCACCCTCCCCTCCCCACCCAGCCCCACCCTCCCCACCCAGCCCCTCCCTGCACGACGGACGGACGGACACAATAATCCCCTGTGGGCTGGTGTAACCAGGAGGTTCCTACCAGTATGATCAGACCTCAAGTAATGCAATCATTCACATGAGAGTGTATGTGCTGTGTAACTGTTCATGCAAGCAAAAAATACTGCATTGTGTATTAATTTTAATTAATAATTAAGTCATAAGCAGCTGGATACCCAAGGGGTCAGCGCTTAAAACTGGGACAGTTTGCACCTAGTCAATTATTTTTTGTCAGCTTCGGCCTCGTAATTTCTGTAGGGAATTCCTGATGCTTGACATGTACTATCAAGGGAACACTTGAGATGCCTGTGACATCGTTCACATGAGTGGTTTCAATGTGCTCCGGTGGCCTATTCCAAAACCGAAACATCATCCGCAGCCAAAGTACGATATCGAAACACCATCATGTGCTGCAAGATGGCCATTAGAGAGCGGCACGGAACAGTGGGTTTCCTCCCACAAGAAAAACACTGGCTGAAAAAGGAATTGGCCAAATATTTTAATGCAGGGAGCCCTCTTGAAAAAATAAGTCTTAACTCAACGATGCTTTCTCGATAAAATAGTGTAGTCAAGTCGAGAGGCGATCCTTATAAATCAATTAATGGAGCCGTCACCTGCGTAACGCCTCGGCAGTTTGAATCGGGGCACTCCAGCTCACTCATTGGTTGGCCCGCCGATCTGGAACGGGCCCCTGTTTGGCCGTAAGAGCAGCCACGAACGTGCTCGCAGGCTGATGAAGGGATTGGCAGATTGGCTGAAGGGTTTTGAGGGTGAATGCCAGGGGAATTTGAAAGTGCAACGGCTGGGAGAAGCTGCCGGAGAGCGAACGGCATTGGGGCACAAAAGAGATGCATGGCCATTAATGGGGTGGAGGGCTCCTCACTCTGCTGTCTAAGCGTGGTCACATTAAAACAATAAAGTACACTATTATTATTTTTACCAGGTAAGGCCCACTGAGATATATAGCTCCTTTTCAGAAGCGACCTGGCCACAAATGATAGCTCAACGAAGTGGCTTATCACGTGGATATTTATAGCAGCCAAATACTCTAAACGCACGTTGATTCTAAATGTGGAGGGAAAAACTGGAGGCCCCGGAGAAAAATCCATGCGACCACGGGAAGAACATGCAAACTCCTAATATATAGGCGTAAGGGTTGAGATCGAATTCACGACCTCCTGTATACCAGGCGAAGCAGTTAACCTCACACGTCTGCCTGAATATCTCTATCCGCATGTGCCGGGACCTCCTCTCCGTTTTATCATTGTTGTCGTCCTGATGCAACCCGGACAAGTGCTCCTCATTGTTAGTGATACCGAGCCAATTATTTTAATTATAGATCCAGTATCTCTATCGTGCAAGCACTGCTGACTTTCATTTGATTGACCTGTAAATTATGATGGGCTGGAATGATCCTTGATTGAAATAACAGGTGCTCTGCCACATTGCCATCTGGCCATATTTACTGTACTATAGATGCGTTTTAATATTACACATAGTTGTGATTGCCACTCTGGAAATACTTGCAACATGGTTTTCCTTCAGTGGTTCATGAATTCAGCGACGAAAATAACATGGAGCATTGAAGGTCAGAGTGTGTGACTGTAATCTCATAAAAAAATAATTGTAAAAATTAGTGACCGACTTAATTTCAAGGGTTATTTTTTTTATTTAAGTCAAATGGGACATTTATGTGTCTTACTAATGTATCAATTGTCCTGGCAAGAATCCCATGAGACTTCAATAACATCTCCTGTTTGGCCAAATTACTCCGATGTGAATAATTAGTAAAGTAGAATTAATCCCCTGAGAGGACTGGATGTCCTGTAAAATGATATTTATGCACCTCAGTGGATCGATTTAACTTCATTGGATTTCAGACAAAATATAGATATATTTTAAACCACCACATTTAAATGTATATCCACATGGCTTCATTTTTCACAGAAATTACATGCCTGGTTTTGGGCGCAAGTCTCATTTCTCTCCAGTGAAATCAAATATGAACCCCTCAAAGCATGATAAAACTACCACCTGTGTGAAGTCAACAGCAGTCCTAAGGCTTGACTGGCCCCTGCCAAAATAATGTGGAATTTCTGTTGCCAGCTCAGGACCTCCGGTGAAGACGAGCAACACCAGAATATTAATTTCACCAGGGATACAATTTGACTTAACGTTTTGAATGTGACAATCGCCGTGTGAACTTATATGCTAACATTCTCGCCCTTAAATAAGCGTGCATGTCTGCGTGTCTAGAGGTGATTTGTTCTTATTCACTTTGGAACATAATTAGGACAAAACAAGACATCTCCGCTCGATGGATAGAGAATAAGCATAGCACAATAGCATTGTTGTGAAAAAGCAACCATGTGTTTTGTTAGACTGACGTCTCATTGAAAATAAGTAGCGGTCTCAGATTCAGATAAAAAGTGTTTTGCAGTAGCATAAATGTATATGCACCGTATGTAGGGGATATTTATGTGTGTGGAAGTTGATGACTTAGTTGTTTCTGCCAACTCATACTGCCGGGGCTCGGTATGTTAATGTGACCTGGGCTTCACCTAGGTCAATTGAGACTAAAATGACGACCTGATGCAATGTGACAGCAATAGGAGACAATCAATCAAACTTTTATTTAATATAGTGCCCTTCGCAATAAAATCATCACAGAGCGCTTCACATGTAGATATACCATTACATCATTACAATTGTAGATACACAAAATAGTAAAAAGAATACGAAATTAAAAAAGAAACCAGCTCGACATGCATGGACTAGGCCACATCATGCAAATGTGCACCATGGTGACCACAACATATATTTGGCCTATTTTTGCCATCCTGATGATGGATAAGATCCTTCTCACGTACTTCCACCTGATGTGGAAGTATAGAATTACAATACAATAATGGGTTGTGCTTCACTGCCCTCTGCTGCCCACAGCAAAGTTTAACCTCGCTAAAAATGCGATTGGGTACAAGGAATCACCCCGCGTCAGGGATGCGTTGCTGGGAAATGCGACTTATTTCGCAATTACTTAAAGCGAACTCTAATATCCCAAAGACATAATGTTAAAGTCGGGGGTTGCGTTCCTAGCTGACATTTCTATAGAGAGAAAAAAGTTTGACTAAATGTTATGAAGTGTACAAAGATGCATGTGATTATAAGTTTAAATATGCAAATAATGTGATTAAACTCATCAGAGATGGTTGAATAGCTACGCTGATTTAGATTTTCAATCCAGACACTTAAGCGTCTTTCCACATTTTCTAGAATTCCACAACTGCTATACGAGTCATTTTAGTGGCAGTTAAAGGTGCAACATTTTGAGCACATTCGAGATTATTTTCCTGCTTTAACGTAAATAGTTATCACGGAGGTCGTCGGTAGGCCAAGCATTCTTGCAATATCACCCGCTTCAAAATGCTGTAAAACTTCTCATTTAACCTCTAGATTAATACTTTTCCTTTGCCTTTTTTCCAGAGGCACCATCATCATTCGTACTTGTTTAAAACGTATCACCTAATGCTAGACTGCGTGCACAATGACCACACGAAATGGAGTGCTGGCAGGTGGGAGGCGGAGGGATATTCGGCGGTATGCACGATGTGTGTACAGTGCTATATTACATCGCCAAATAGTCCGCTTTCCTTATAGTGTAATGTTTCGCATTACGCGTATAAGGAGATGTGTTCCAACGCATAATTCGGCAACCTATAGCGGGGGATTCCTGTATTTGACGTGACCATTACATATATTGGTGTGTGAGAAGTTTTAAGTTAAATAGAAACAAATCCTAAATGCTAGGGCAGTGGTCATCTCCATTGACATCCCTGAGCCAATAGTTGAAGATCCAAATGCCCCTGGCCAAGGCTCATCTGTCCGTGGGATATCTACTGTTGGCTTGCGATACAAATTGATACCGATTTTATGAAACCCCTGAAGAACGACGAACTGAGTTGACCACCGACAGACTCAAACGTACAAGGTTCTGAGTGTAGGTTGGGCACTCGAAATGGAATGCGATTGTCCAGTTGTTGAAGAGACCCGAGTGTTTATGATTTTTTAAAGTATGTTATCAAATCATCAACTTGTCTTAGCCATATACAGCAGCTGATGTTTACATTAAGTATTTGCCACCTCTATTGGTACCGTATTCTGCTCTGAACGTTTGTATGTATGTATTATGTTTAACTTATTTCACACCGTACGTAGCCAACTGTGCTAATCGGAGGTGCAGGGGAAGCACGACAAATCAAACACAAAAAGCAGTTCTAAATTCGTTTTTCATCTATATTTAAAAGTGCATAGCTCCAGTGGCTTCCGAATTATTTATATATATTTCCAGTAAGCGCACTCATGGGAATTGATTTTTTTCAATTCATGAAACATAATTTATTTAGGCTGTTGGTCAGAATAAACTAGACATATGAATGGGGACAGTAGAGATAAGGTAAACATTATTCATGAGACAAACAGTACAGAGAAGGCAGTTAAAGACACTAAAAATGATACATTATAGACAAGACATACATGCAAAGACAACATATGAGACGCAGTAGAAACGTGACAATATCGATGATGCTGACGTGAATGAGACAGACAACGCAAATGAAAAAGACAGAACAAACAACACAGACAGTAAACACAAGTGTGTCTATAAGACTGAATCGTGACCTTAAATTACGACTTCATTAACACACGTCTAAATATTGAAGCGTGCCACTGCATATTCTTTGGTTCTTTCGGTAAAGTCACGTAGATGGAAAATAATAATAAAAAATTTACTGAATAAAAAATTTAAACCAAAAAAACACGACGTTTCGATCGCAACAAAAGTGGTCGTCATCAAGAAAACGAGGGTTACCCTCTAAAGGCAAACTGTTTTCAAGGTTTAGAGATGGGCGTAGCCCAAGTGTGTCAGCAGCATGGGCGGGGCAGCTAATGTTAATGTAGGAGAAAGCAACGACACCGGCAGTGGGTCTACACCAATCAAAGGGCCGCCAAGCAAACATTGTACCTTGATCCACACACCCAGACTGCTGACGGTGGAGGTTGACAAGAAAACACAAATGAAGTCATGACCCAAAGTGGTTTATGACATCTTTCCAATGATTGCTGAGTTCATAACCATCCTCTCGGTTGAAATTGTATCTGTGTCTGTATATATGGATGGCTTCATGAACAAATCTTTGTTGATGGCCAAGTAGGCTTGCAAAGCACAATCGTCTTATAGACATCAATTTCGTGTGAGCCAGCCGCATTAAAATAATAATCGGCCACGGTAGAAGTATTGGTCCTACCGTGTTTCAAATCTGCCTTATGCTCACGAACACGGTCCGAGACATATCGCTTAGTTTCCCCAATGTAACTGCTGCCGCAGATACAGCTTAGTTTGTAGACGCCAGAATATTGCATGTCAGGAATCTTATCGTTCACAGATGGGATCAGATCACAAATTTTATGTACTGTGTTAAATCGGACCTGAATCTTGTGTTTGTTCATGATTTTGGAAATCTTTTTGGTTACCCCTGCTATGTATGGCAAAGTGATGTTTTTTTATTGGATCCTCAGATGGCTCCTTCCTCACGGTTGGGGTGATGGCTTTGCGGATTGTGTAGTCAGACTATCCATTCGCCTTGAGAGTTTGGTGTATGTGTTTGTGTTCACTGGTTAGGTGTTCATGGTCAGAGATACATTGAGCTCTTTGGTGTAGCATTTTGATGAGGGAATTCTTCTGGGATGGATGGTGTTAGGAATCAGGTTTTAGGTAGGCTCAGTGTGGATTACTTTCCTGTAGACAGAATGGCTCATTGAGCCATCTTGCCTCTTTTTGATTTAGACATCCAAGAAAGGTAACATGCCATTCTTTTCTACCTCCATGGTGAATTTGATGGCTGGGTGTATGGAATTTATGTGGTTGAGCAATTGGTTCAGAGCCAGTCGGTCATGTGGCCAGATGACAAACGTGTCATCCACGTACCTCTTCCACAAGAACGGGCGTAGAGTGGATGCCTGGATGGCGTCTGTCTCAAATTTTTCCATGAAAATATTAGTTACAACCGGAGATAAGGGAGAACCCATTGGGGTGCCTTCAGTTTGTTTATATAATGTTTCATTCCAGGTGAAGTATGTATTGGTGAGGCAGTGTCTCACCAGGGTCGATACATCAGCATTCATTCCTTGTTGGACCAAATTTTCAATGATTGCAATGGTATTGGGCACAGGAACTTTGGTGAGCAAAGAAACTACATCGAAACTAACGAGCAAATCACCTTGGGACAGTGAGATGTCTTTAATTGACGATACCAGGTGAGCTTAGTTAAGTACAAAAGAGGTGGTCATACCAGTGAATAGCTGCAAGGTCTCAGACAGATATCGGACCAGTGTATAGGTGGGTGAGCCAATGGTGGAGACGATGGGACGAAAGGGTGTACCTTTATGGATTTTTGCTAAGCCATATAATCTGGGTGGTCTAGCCGGAGAAGGCTTTAAGGAAAACCGTTTGGTCTGTTCATAGTGGTTATCTCTTTGATAAACCAACCCCCACCACGGGAATGTTGAATGAGAGGGCAGTTGAGTAAAATCCATTGTTGTAATGTACCATTTTGGAATATCGACGCTCCCCCGCCTTTACCGACCCACACTGAACCAGCGTGGTGAAGTAGGCCAGAGTTTCGCGGGTTCGTTTTTTTGGCAAAAAATATCCAGCGTAAAAACCACCCGGACCGCTACTCCACCATCCCCTTCACATAGTGATCGTTGCTCCTGGAAGATACAAAAAAATTGACAAACCTAAACATTGCGTTTATGTTATTTTATTTTGCGTCTTATTCTGTTACATTGTCCCCCCCCCCCCCCGTCCTTTTTCCACCATTTCCTTCCCTCACCCTGGAAATACTTTGTGTTCCCAACCGTTGCCGGCGAGCCCAGGTGCTTTTGCTCATCCCTTCCCTAATCACTAGGGTGTAGAGACTCACTGTGCCAATCGCACGTTCTATCTGATATTCATGACTGTAGCTCTTGAAAAAAATAACAATAGTATCAAAACAACTCCACCCATGCCACGAGGTTCATGCGGCACAACTCGGATGTGCCAGTGGGAAAAAATAAGCGTTTGATGTTGACTTTGATGTGGCATTAGTGACGTGCGTCGTGGCACACATTCTCCGCGCGTCTCTCCCGGACAGGAATGAGTGGGGCCGGTGGAACTCGGCGACCTCCGGGTTCCCACGTGGGCACCAGCAGTAGCTCGGTGGCCATCGCCATCCTCGTGCCTTTCTTTGCGCTCATCTTCGCTGGATTCGCCTTCTATCTTTACAAGCAACGGTACTCCTCCCCCCACACACACCCCCTCCGGCACATTGCCTGACATTGGTAGAGTCCGTCAGTGGCTGTATCCACCTCATAATTTAACAAAGTCGTTTAGCAGTTGTACGCAAAATGTTTCACTCTGTGGCTTCCCTTGTAAGGCCTTAAAACGTGATTAATGATAATCTGAGAGTATATTAGATGGACTAATGACCTGTTTGGTGCGATGTATGGGCTTAGCATGCTTGCCAGGGAGGGCCCCGGGTATTAGTTCAGTGTCAGCCTGCCAAGATGTTTGTGCCGTTCATCTGTTATTAAACTGAGTGCATCTATCGTCCGTGACCATGCACAGTGTTGGAAGGGTTACGTTCGAAAAGTAATCGGTGGTCGATTACTGATGATTCGAAATTACAGATAATGTAATCGCATATTTAGATTTTTTTCGAAGCAATGCAATTTGATACACATCACTATTATTATTACTTTCTTAGTATCAGCATGTGTTTTGTATGTTTGACTTCCGAAATAAAAGCATTGAGCTGCTGTCCTTTTCACAACCTAAGCTGCCTGCTAAATAATTTCTACATTTTAACATATAATTTTCAAATTCCAATTTTCTTTTTACTGAATGCATAAAGTTATCATTCATAAGAAGCAACAGTAATTTCATGCAATGTTAAAATCATAATCAAATTACGGAATTACCTCTACCCATAAACATGTTGGGTACAGGCACCAGCAGTACAGGAGGTCACGAGTTCAGATGCCGGCAGGGGGTAGACTTGGCCTCTGGGATTAATAAAATGAGAATCACTTTTTGGGGCAGTCAACAGCGATTCTCACATATAAACTCACCCCCACTGTTGGAATGTGGAATGTTGACCACTGGCTCCGTGCTGTAAACAGGAGATGAGCACCACCCAGTGATAGTGCCAGTCCGGAATAAATTATTTTGCCCCCCCCCTCAACTCAAATTTATGAACGCCTGCCGAGATAACAGAAGGGATATGGACACGAGATAGAGGTGTAGCAATATGGGTAGTTTTTTTTTTTAACAAATAGATGGAAGGGTAACGAGATGAAAGGAGAGAGAGATGCAGGTTACGACATTAGCAGAGGACAAGAGAAAGATAATCATTGAGATGAGAGAAGACAGATTCGAGATATGAATTGTCTCGATTTGAAGCTTTCGTGACTGCAGGGATTCATCTTCTTGGTTCTTTCGGTAAAGTCACGTAGAATGGAAATAATAAAATAATAAAAATAAAACATAATAAAATAATTCTCACGACATTCAGACTCTGTCTTCTCGACAGACCTGTTCTCCACCTGAGGACGGCTGCTTGCATTGTGGCCGAAACGTCGTGAGAATTATTTTATCATGTTTTATTTTTATTATTTTATTATTTCCATTCTACGTGACTTTACCGAAAGAACCAAGAAGATATGAATTGTCGTTTAATGGTTTTTATTATTAGATATGATTTCGAATATGATATTTGGTGCATCCCCTATGTCTTCATAAAGCCGTGGCCCCTTTAGCTACTTGGGGCACTAAGCTTTTGCCTCGTCTGCTCAGGCCTCGCGTGCCACCACTGTCACTGCCCCACGCTCACTTGAGCAGCAAATCACTCTTCCTCTTGTTAACTTGAATCTGCGGCGTAATGCAAAGTCAACAGTGGTTGTGCTGCAGAGAGACTGGACTCTTCCAATCAGCACGTTGAATACGCGCATTGTAGCTTTACTTCGGAGTGACTTGGTCCTCGCACTGGTAATGTGGAGTTTCCACCGTTGTCTCAGGGCCACCACTGGAGGTGATTGCTACTCCACAATTGCTTATGCCGGGAGTCACTTTGACTTGAGTAACAACGATACAAAGTAATAGACAATGTTTAGGCATCATATGAAGTCGTGAAGATAAACATGTCATGATTGAACTTTATGATGACATTCTTCAATCAGTTCATACGGCTAGCATTCCTGGATAATGAACCTATCCATTCACAACAACACGACCAACGAAACAATAAATACTATGATAAAAAAACAACTACATCAAAGAACAAAGATTGATGTATACGTGGAATATCTGGGAGAGGGCAGATAAGAAATGTACAGAATATGAAACAAGAATCTGGGATGTCACTATCATTATTATAAAAAATAAATGGTCATGGGTTTGACATGTCACAAAAAGGATGGGCAGTTTTTGGACAAATCCAGTGATTGAATGGGACGGAATGTGAACAGAGAAATGACAGTAGATGACTGGGGATGATACAACTTGGGCACTTTATCGGGCTGGGATGTATTGCAGCTCTACAGGGCCATAGACCATGGTGTCAGTATAGAGATCTCTCAGTCCAAGTGAGGCTTTGAAAATTAATGACGATATGTGCATCAATGCATTCCAAGCCTACTTCTGTGTGCATTATCATACGCACATTGTGTAGAGGTAGAATTGTTTCAAATGTATACTCATATACTGTATAAATGAAGGGTTTGAAAGCACAAGCTTTTAAAGTTGGGGTCGATGGATAATGTAAATATGGAGCCATATCCATTTGTATGGTAATAAGGCACCATTAGAGGATAGTACATCAAGTAGGTTTATCACATACACATGCAAAGGTGTTGTGTGGTATACTTTTATGAGGGTAGGTTTTATCTGGGTACTCTGTTTTTTTTTTTCTTCCACACTCCAAAAATAGTACAAATTATGGATTACACAACGGTTTGCCAACATGTGAGCGTCTTGTGAATCATCTAATTGATGGTACGCAAGCCGACGGACGAGTAGCTGTTCTGGATTCAAATGAACGAAGTCCATTTCGCCCAGACGACGATATCAGTTGTGTGTCGGGTGACACGAGATCATGTGACAGGTGGGGCCACCCTGAGAAGGGGCTGCCGTCTCCCACCTCGGGTAGTTGTCGGGACCAAATTATTTTGTGCATTGCAAATCAGGGTCCTTTTTTGTTTGCTCCGGTTTGTGTCTCCCAAGTTATGATGAAACCGTTGATCGGTGTGTCCGGCTTTTCAGAGCCCAAGTCTCTGATAGCGACATGGCATTACACCACAGGCTCGTTCGTATTGGATCGTCGTCACGAGCATTTTAGCGCCCCACTCCATCACCCCTTAATTTCTCGTTTTGGCAGACTGCAAGTATTGGCATAATGCATAATCACTACATTTAAATTACATTTGCAAGTGAAGTTTAAGAACGTGACAATTAACTAAACATTTACTATTAAACATTTACAATTGCCGAACACAAGCATACAGTTTGCAATGCGCGTATGCTTAACCATCACCATGCAGTGCCCGAGATAATTTTTTAATTGCTTGGAGAACTTATTTTGTTTATTGGTTCCGGCTGGTGCACACGAGGGAATGAGCTCTGACTCTACGCCTCTTCTCGATCGAACAATGCGTCCGATTTTGCAGAATATGCACGCGTTAGAAATTGTGCTTATTCCTACGATTGTTCTATGTAAAATAAACAAATATTTACGTAAAATAATGAGGGAACATCTAGGATAGCACGTTCACACACCATCTCATAATACGCGGCGGCGTTGATTAGCACACAAACAGAATTTTGGCTAAATCTCTCTTTTTTAATGTTTCTTTTTTTTATATATATACATAAAATGTTCCTATCTTTGTGGCTTATTCTAAATTCTGGGTTTTGCGAGTTTGTCTTCTAGAGGTTTTACAGTGCAACAAATAGCCGTGGCTATCATATCGAGACATTGGCCCCCAACAGTTGAATGTGGATTTCCACCACTAATTTCGTGGATGCCCTACAGATGAGTACTGACCCCATTTATTTTTTTAAGGATAATTTTTCCAGTAGATAAGAAGTATTCTCATGTGTGCTTTTTTATCATTGATTCTTATTTTATTTTAAAATGCACAATACAATGCAATGTCACGCTAGCATTGGTAGACATTTTGTATTTATTAAATGTGAATTGTCAGTAATAATGACAAATGTATAAAACACGTAGATATGTATAATAAGTAATCATTATATTCTAAGAAAAATGTCAAGATCGTAAATCCTGGGGAAAACCCTGCAGTATGTAATTTAACGCCAATTATATCATTTTTTTCCAAACTTAGTCCTGTGACACATTACAGATCAACAGTTTGTCCCAAAAGAACGTAGCAGTAACCACCGCAAAAAACACGAGGGAGGTATTGAAATGCTTTTTACCAAATTGTATACATCACTGTGGAGAATAACTCAACTTTAAATTGATCCCAGAGGAATGTAGCTATCCCCTGCCAAAACGGTGCTTCCAAACCTGAGCGCTTTTATACTGAAGCGATGAATCCTGAAACATTTGTCCAACGATATAGATTTTAAAAACAAATACGTTGGAGTCTCTTCGTCCACACGTTAAGACATGTTTCTGGGTGCAACGGAAACGGATTGGCCAGCCTCAGACTGTATTCGTCCTTGTAACGTGATTTTATCACGAGGCTTCAGCAACTTTGTAGCCTCAGCGAAAAAATAAACTGCAGCCGCAGCAAGCTTGCTTTAAAAGGGGGGGGGGGGGGGTTGGTGGGTATGGTTTGCAAGCATGTGAGTCACTGTGACTAGTCACCCTGAACAAAACAGTTCACTCGATTACAGAGCTAACTTTAGATCCATTAAGACCGACTTATGGACGTTCGGCGCTAGGGCATCCGAACCTCACAGAGGTTCATGGTTCGAGTTTGGTAGACCGCCCTGGTTAATCGCGGTGGGTGCGTGTTAATCACGAAAACACACGCAGCCTCTGCATCACAGTGGAGATTAAAGATCCCGTGACATTATTCCAAGAAGAGTTGGCCACTGTGGGCTGGCGTCATGGCCCAATTTTTGTCAAATTTGAAGAATTGCAAGCGGATTACTTGATTGGTAATGCATAGCAAAATGATGACTCGTACTGCGAAATTGTAGCAGAACCCTCCTGAAAAGTAGTCTTGTGACTCAGGGTGGCGTCTCTGGGCTAACAAGTGTCATAGCAATAATAATCATCATCAAAGCATTACGATTCTTAAGTAGCCAGAATTGATTGAATTTTCCTTACCAACATATCAACCATAATACATGGAAACTAATATCTTTAAATAATGTTGATGAACATATTTCTAATGAAGTACTATTGAACTGATTTTTGCCAAGGCAAGTTGGGACTTTTACCACTGGGTTGTGGCCACCACAACAGATAACCCCTGTTGGTCTGAGCAGGGAGACGTTTTGTTATTCAACCATTGAATGATGAGAGTGAGTTTGAGGACCTTTTGGTCCGTGCTTGTATACCGCTAGAAATACGGGTCCTAAAATATGATTCGAATCAAGGGACAAATGTGTTTATGCATTTTTTCCCTGACTGCCATAGCACCTACGTATTGGTGCATGATATTATAATAAGGAATTGAAAAAAAACAATAATCGCTTGGGTACTAATGCACATTACTGATCGTGATGACGCTGCGGATGTTTCAAATGTCGAAAGCAAAGGTCCAGCCGTGCAATTTCCGGCTCACGCCACAGCTGTAGAATGGGCCTCATCTAAACATAGCCCGAGACAGATGTCCTCAAAGAGGTCTTGTCAGATGCGCTCACTCTACCCCACAGACGCGACCTGCCTGTCAACTAACTGCGGTGTACCCATTTACACCCAGAAATCATGCAAAAGTTGGGCCAACGTTGACATGTGATGGGAACCATTAGCTGAACGTTGCCTCGACGTTGCATGATCAATGGGTATTGCTGGGTCGACAGAGGTAGTGGCGGGGGATTTAAGAAATTTGCTCTTGTTATTTCAACTGGCGACAGTGGAATGAAAATGTAGTGTGCCAACCATTACATGATGGTGAAGATGATAACGATGATGATGGCGCTGATGCTTGTGGCCGCAAATATTATTGAACGTCCTTTGTTTCCCCGCAGAACACGACCGAAAGCCAGATACAGCGGCTGCTCAGCACACGAGAACACGAATGGGCAGGCGGCGTTTGAGAATCCAATGTACGACACGAACCTGAGGCCGGGGGAAGCCAAGGTTGTACGCTTTGACCCGAGCCTCAACACCGTGTGCACAATGGTATAGGGGGAACTGAGTGGAGCCATAGATATATTTTGTGAAGGAAGTATAATTATATTGTATGCAATGAATCATTTTTATATTTTATGTTTATCTTTCTTATTTGTGTGTGTATATATATATGTAAGCGGGTATATATGGAGTATACTTATATACACATGTGTGTATATGCATAATATGTATGTGTATGTATGTATACACATATGTAGCTAATTTATGCCACCACGTGGAGGATATGTACATTTGTGTATATCACATATATGTGTACGTATCTGCACATGTATATCTAAAGATTTTTGCCAACACTATAATTTTATTTTGTAAATAATGTCTATTTTTTATTGTTTTGTACACATTGCTTTTTTAATGTGCTTTGTTTTATGCTGTTCTCGTTATTTTGTCGTGGTTTTCACAGTTTAGGAACTGTTTATTTAATATTAAAAAATATATATACCGGACAATCTTCATGAGTTAATTGCGACAGACGCAGGAGTGGTCGATGTAACGTTATAATGTCATTTTTTTCGGTTGAGATATTAATATATGTTAATGTTGAACATTATTTGCGATGATTGCTTCATATATTGATAGCTTATTTTTTTAATCATCGTATTTTTTTCACTTGTTCGGATGGAAATGACTTCATTTGAAGGATATGGAAATGCTTAAAAAATGAAAGGTAATTTATAACTTAAGGGCAGAATTAACGCATCAGTAAATAAAATGCGATACGTTGAAACACACAAGCACTGCCATGTTACACTGTAACGTCTACAGATTTGTAGCGATATGTATTTTACGAAAAAAATAATGGTTGAAAATAAATGTTTGGTTTTTACATTGTCAGTGTTAAAAATTCGCCACGATTTAAAATAATTTATTACATCAATTATTGAATAAGTCACTGTAGTGAAATTTGTTTTATATTTTAGTTTTTTTTAATATGTACCATAGTTAACATAAAACTAAATCAACGTGTACATTTGTTATCATAAACGGTGGGTCGCTAGGTCTAAACACTATTTAGCAGCTTTAGCATTCAAACGCAGCCTGCACGCGAGGACATATTGATGCCAGACTTGGCGAGGGACCACAAGGTCACCTCGTCGTGCATGAGTCCAGAACAGGTATCTGAATTGTCGGTGCCACCTGAGGTGGGCATAACTCTCGTGGTTTCCAGTGTATTCATGTGACCAACAACAGTGATTTACGTGATAACCATTCGAAATTAGCGGGCTTATGTATGTACGCTAATTGTAGGTGTGAGCGGAAGGACAACAAATTAAACACAAAAAGCAGTTCTAAAGAAATTCGTTACAAAAAAATATAACTCAGTCTCATCGGCCATATAGACACATCGGTACTACACAAGCGTTGCTACTTTAAGCTGTGCCAATTTCTGCTGTCGCCCACGAACTGTCCATGAGTGGACCGCGAGGGGTATTGATGCGATCGGTGAAGCTGCGTGCCCTTGATCTATCGTGTGCTCTGCTAGCGGCAAACAATGCTGTCTCAGATTTTTTTGTGCACGAATTGGATTTGAAACAAACATTTCTTTTGAAAGTATACTTTCAAGAAATATATATATTCAGCACCCCAAGGGTTGAATTCAGGCACCCACCCCCCAACAATATATATTTCCACCCGCCACCGATGTTAATATTCTTGGCCTTTTGTTTTGTTGTAGTTTTAATGATTTGTTTTCCTGCAACCAATCGGAAATTTTAAGAAAAAAATGTTTGACACACCTTGTGCATGCATTTCCCCAAAGGGCATACTTTTTAGCAGTCACACTGTCAGTGGAAGAAAAAAAAATCTTTCGATTTCGCGCTCGCTTTATGTGAGCCACACCTATTAGCAACTTGCCACTTCGTTTTTGTGAACAATTTGAGACAATGAGAAACCCTAACTTATTTCCACACCACAATGTTACTTGTACAGAATGTTGCTTTTTTTAATGAGGTTGACAAAGTTACGAAGAAAAGATTATATTTTTATGAAATATTGTATAATCGCTCTTGTCAGTTGCTTCATAAGAAATGAATATATATGTTAAATGATTTAAGATGATAAGAAAACAATTGCGGCTTTGCCTGTATAATGAACACTGGTTTGTACTGTGTCTATAATGTGCCAAAATTCTCACTAATAACAGCTTCATTTATGATGATCATTCTTCGACACGCACGGAAACATAAAATGCATTTGTGTTGGTTTGATCAAAGGTGAAACAAAAAGTCACACTTTGGAACTTTGTTTAATTGTTTTAGATTTTCTGAAACAAACCCTATATTGTCTTGAATGGTTATAGCTCAATTGTCATATATTTATACAACTTAAAAGATAATGTGTGGGTTTGATTATTTCTTTAATATAGAAGAGTAACTTGCTGCAACAAAGTAAGATATATTTGACATGCTGTTTTGAGCTGATTAAGAATTTGACATTTGCTGTACAGAAATGGTTTTGTACTGAGCACTTGTAATAAAAGGTTTTTAAATTCTCTCATGTATTGTTCACTTTTTTCAATGGAAAAATGGGGGGGGGGGGAATAACTGCTTCTCTCATCTAATATTCTGTCTTATATTTAAAGTTAGTTTGAAGAGTAAACTAATTTTAACGTGCAAGGTATTGTAACATTTAAACACAGAATTTACGTAGACTCAATTATTATTTGGTCTTATACGTTGTCTTAATCATATGGGCTTTTTCCAACCTGCTTACTATAGCGAGCCACGTGGAGAAATTCATTTGGGAGAATTTTTTTAAAAATAAAATCTCGATTCGTACCAACTCATGAAAATAGAACCTTATTTGGTGATGCTGTGCACAAGGGCAGATAAAAAAATCAAGAGATTTGTCAACAACACTGCCCGTAAAAGAGCAAGTATAGGCGACGTTTTGAGCAATGACCCTTCTTCACAACACGTAGAAAAGCTGTCGAGGTTGACTTTACAATACAGATCCCACAGTTTACGAAAGTTCGGATTACAGCATTTCATGTTCACGCAATTGCCAATATTGTGGACCACTTTTTACCGAAATTCACACGGCACACACCGCAAAATTAAAACAAAACACCTGGAAGGCTGCGTCATCCCTCCGCAACAGCGTCACGGCATCCCTGCAGTGACGGCAGTAACGCATCCTCATCGCCCTTCCAGTCATTTCAACATGCAGATCTTTTAGCGAGTCCCCTGAAATTTTGTTTACAATTTTTTTTATTAATAATTACTTCAATCGTTAGAATATTTATGTTCTCCATTATTTTTTGTGTATCGTGAAAATTGATTTAGGTGTATATTTTTAGGTTAGGCGTATAGTTGGAATGAATGTCCGAAGCACGTCTCTACCTTTTTGCATTTACTTTATGGGAAAAAATCCGTTCCAATTTACGACATTTAGTTGTCCGCTTGTTTTCTTTCTTTTTGAAGAACGTGTCCCTTTCGTAAATCGAGGGATACCTGTATGTACAATGCCATCCCCCTGGTACGCCCACTTGACAGCAGTTCAACGCTATATTAACAGCTGTTTGCCAATACCAAAACCACTCTCATCTCCAGGTGCCCCTCTATATCCTTTTTCTCAACCAATAAAAAAATAACCTGTCCAATTCCAAGTCTGTTGGCCAGAATGAGGAAATAGATGTGTCTGTTGGACACACTTCAGTAAACATTTGTTGGTTGTAAAAAAAAATCCCGACTGCCACACTACTATTCAATTATTTACATAACACTAGACCAGTGGTTCTTAACCTGGGTTCGATCGAACCCCAGGTGTTCGGTGAGTCAGTCTCAGGGGTTCGGCGGAGGTCAAGACACACACCCGACTCATATGATTCGTGATGACACGTCCGGCTTGGCCATCATTGGCTGCAAGTGATCACGCTACATCGCTTGGCCTATCTGTGCTGCAGGGAATTTGGTGCGCTCGGTAGTCGACTTGTGACTGTCGTGATGGTACGTCGTGTGATTTCTTTCTTAATATTTGAATCCCTTCATACTATGTCGAGCAAAAAAAGAAAGTGGTCGGACGAATATGTACAATATGGATTCACATGTATAACGGATCGTGATGGGAGTCAGCGTCCTAACTGCATGATTTGCAATGCCAAGTTGAGCAATTCTAGTCTAGCACCGGCAAAACTAAGGGAACACTTCCTTAAGCTGCATGGAGATGGGGAATACAAGAACACAACGCTCGCTGAATTCAAGGTGAAGAGAGCCAGATTCGATGAAAAGGCTACTCTGCCTGTTCTCGGCTTTGTACCCATCAACAAACCGATCCTCACAGCATCGTACGAAGTTGCTTATCTGATCGCAAAGCAGGGCAAACCACACACCATTGGTGAAACACTCATAAAACCAGCTGTGTTGAAGATGGCGAATATCATGCTGGGAAAAGCGGCTGAAATTAAGTTATCCCAAATTCCTCTTTCAAATGACACCATCAGCGACAGAATAGAGGACATGAGCAAAGACATCTTGGCTCAAGTAGTTGCAGATCTGATTTCAAGCCCGGCAAAATTCAGCCTGCAACTCGACGAGACCACGGACGTTTCCAATCTAAGCCAGCTTTGCTGTATTCGTGCGCTATGTGAAAGACGACGTGATAAAAGAAGATGTTTTATTTTGTAAGCCTCTTACAACAACAACTAAGGCAGCCGATGTGAAGAAACTTGTGGATGACTTCTTCAAAGACAACACTCTTTCGTGGGATATGGTTTCTGCAGTTTGTTCGGACGGAGCTCCAGTCATGCTGGGAAGAAAGTCTGGTTTTGGTGCGCTAGTGAAAGCCGATGCACCACACATTGTTGCGCATTGTATTCTGCACAGGTATGCGTTGGCAACAAAAACATTGCCTCCAAAACTGACAGAAGTATTAAAAATTGTAGTGGAATGCGTGAACTATGTTCGAAATAGTGCTCTGAGGCACCGCATCTTCAGTGAGCTGTGTAAAGAAATGGGCTCTGAATTCGAGGTACTTCTGTACCATTCTAACGTTCGGTGGTTATCCCGGGGACAGGTGCTGAATCGTGTTTTTGCCATGCGTGTGGAATTAGCCCTGTTTTTGCAAGAGCACCAACATTGTCATGCAGATTGCTTCAAAAATTCTGAGTTCATTCTCATTTTAGCGTACATGGCTGATATCTTCGCAGCTCTCAATCATCTCAATCAGCAGATGCAGGGCGGTGGAGTCAACATCATTGAAGCGGAAGAAAACCTGAAGGCTTTTCAAAAAAAGCTACCGTTATGGAAACGACGAACAGAGAACGATAACTTCGCAAACTTTCCCCTGCTGGACGACAATGTAAGTAAGGTCGAAGATGTATCTGGAATCGGAGACATATCTGTACCCGCGGAACTGAAGCAAGCAATTGCCACGCACTTAGATGAGCTTGCAAAGTCTCTCGACGGATACTTCCCTACAAGAGAGTCATATCCAGCATAGGTGAGACAGCCGTTCAAGTTTAGTGTTGAGACAGCAGATGTCAATGATGAATACCTCGACGAAATCATTGAAATTCAGCAGAGCCAGGTTCAACAGCAACTCTTCAGAACAACAACGCTCTCAACGTTTTGGTGTCAACAAATGGTAACGTACCCTGTTATTAAGAAAGCCCTGGATATTTTCATACCGTTTGTTACAACATATCTTTGCGATTAATCCTTTTCGAGGATGCTGGACATAAAAACGAAAAAAAGGAACAGACTTTGTTGCGAAAATTACATGAGAGTGGCACTTGCCAAGGTGAAGCCGCGCATTTCTGAACTGGTCTCTGAAAGGCAACACCAGAAGTCACACTGATTTGCAGTAAGTATTCATTATTACGTTTTTGTTTTTGTGTGAAAATCATGTTTTGCTGGTTTTGTTCTTTGAACACAGTGATGTTGATGCACGGTTCATTTTGTGCACCAGTAAAACATATACCTATGTTTTGAATTTGAAAAAATAAGATTTTATTTTTACAATTAAGAAGGGTTCGGTGAATGCGCATATGAAACTGGTGGGGTTCAGTACCTCCAACAAGGTTAAGAACCACTGCACTAGACTATGTGTAACCTCTTACACGGGCTATACACAAACAAATCCATGCAACTCATCAATATGAACCAATACACCGCATCGCACATCCAAAATAATCACGTGGCATTTCATAAACCAAAAGCACAGCACAACCATAGCTCATTGTAATAAAAAAAATCCTTCTCATCCCTCGATTTTCTGGCTGGAACGCCCAATGTGGCACACTACAATATAAAATAACTCCTCTTACCCGTGGTAATGCAGGGAACCACTATCGCAGAGCATCATCATGCCTGTCACTGTCAGGTTATCCACCATTTCACTCTTGACTCATTCACGGGTACAAATCACAGACAACCTTGGACTTATGGGAAATTTCGCGGATCATATGAAAAATAGGGCCCTTAGATAATAGATGTTTTTTTTGCGGATCCCAGAACTACAACGGATAATAGGATTCATAGATAATGATGCTGCGGATAAGAGGAGTTCTCCTGTGGGCAGTGTGAAAAGCAAGAGGCATTTCCATGGTACTTATCTTGATGTTTTGTAAAAGTAATAAAATGAAGTACAAATGACAAAAAATTCAACAGGGTATTTTCTGAAGCAATTTACACACGAAAAATGACTCCTACATTTAAATTGATTTGCAGTCCTTGGCATTTTTACGATATATCAAAGGTCTTTGGTGTTTTTAGATTTGTATATGTTGTATTCAAATGGTTAATGTAACCATTGCAGGCACTAGACGGTGCTACATTCCCCACAATGGTAAAAAGAGTACTATACGTGTTTTTAATTGAGGCAATGTGCAGGCCCGTTACATCACGTTGTGACGCACGTACACACACCGTCAACACAAGCCAACCCGGTTATGAAAAGTAAGGGATAGAAAGATGGGGAACGGACTCGCTGCCCCATAAAAAAAACAATATTTAACGTTTTCCATCCATTGCTGGTTGAAAACCTCTCCACGTCATCCCACTCATGGGGGTTGTTACTGTTTAGGAATTTGAAACAAATGTTTGCACAGTTTCTAGACGTTAATGGCAAGAGCTCTTCAGCAACAACCGATAATACGTTTTGTGCATGATATAATTTAGCGCCAAACTAGGCCCCATATCGTACGGAGAGAGTTATTGCCTGTAAGATCGACAGTTCAACATTGATTCAAGCAAGCCTGGCTCTGCAGAAGCGACACTGTGTGTAGAAACCAGTCCACAGTTTGCTTGTCTTGTTTGAATCAATGCTTCTTAAATTATGCACCATGTGGCTGATGGGTTGTCCAAGTAATAATGTTATTGTTTAAATTGAGAGACGGACACGTGAAAGAGACGTTGATTAATATTTTTTTTATATAATGAGTTGATACACTAGTTAGTTGATATATTTAACGATGGATTACACGAATAGTAAAGTACTGTATTTAAAACATGTGAGTTATAGCTCGGTAGCTCTGTTATGAAAGCACTCGAC